CGATGGCACAGCGCCCTTTATTTCAGCCAATCTCCTCCAGTGCTCTTAGTTGCCAAAAATACCTGTTGATCACATGCAGGATTAGGCTGCCTGCCACCCTTTTCCTACACATCCCTGTGTGTGTGTATATACAGCAAATACCCACCCACAGTGACCCCACCGCTGTGAGCTGCGGTGGGTGCTTGGGGACCAGGAGGCTGGCACTAGCCATGGGCTGGAGCAAAGCCCTGGCCCCAGGGACCAGGGGGACGAAGGTCTGGGCGGTGGGACAGAGCAGGGCCAGGGCTGTCAGGGCTGGAGCAGGGGGAGCAGGCGTGGGGCTGAGCATCTTGCCCAGTTTCTCCCAGCCCACGGCAAAGCCAGGCAGTGGGACAGGGAGGAGAGCTCTGGGGCAAGCCCAGCTGCTGCCCTGGGGACAGGCAGGATGGGATGTAGCTGCAGGAAACCAAAAAGCTGCAAAATAAGCATCTCTGGGTGATAACGCCCTGTGATGCTCTTGCATTTGGGGTGCAGCACAGCTGTGCATGAGCAAGAGCTCAGTGCTGGACCACCACGTGTGCGCCGAGGTGCCCGGGCATGGACACACATCAGGCAGCCAGAGCCATCTCCCAGCCTGAGCTGCTGGGATTTACTCCCTTTTCTGGCTCACTCAGCGGGTAAATGACACAGCTTAGCCCCTGTCGGGATCTTAGATCGTGTCCACATTCACGGATGTAGCTGAGATGGGTCCGTGGCAGGACAAGTGGGTGTGAGTGGGTATCTGCGGCTGCAAGCCTCAGGTGTCCTCCCTGGGTGAGGTGCCCCCAGGCTTTGCCCCCCGCCCTAGGAGATTTAGGCAGCGTGATCCCACCAGGCACAGCCCATCCCAGGACATGCCACCTGCGATGCAGGACCCCAGACCCCTCGGTCCCCCCAGGAGGGTCACCAGCACCCGACCTCCTCAAGCTCATCCAGCAGTGCCCGTCCTGCACAGCCCAGCCAAATCCCTCGACCTGGGTCAGAGCCTGGAGCTTCAATCCGCCTCTGGTTTCACGTGTGAGCAAATCAAGTTAATAAATCTGGAGAGAACCAACGACTGCGCAAATAACTTTGCTAAGCACGTGCATCCCGCAGGCAGAAATAGTGGGAATTGCTCCTGGAGCCAGCCATCCATCCATCTATCCATCCATCTATCCATCCATCCCTGCACAGCCCAATATTCAACCCAATTTGCTGCAAAGCCAGGTCATTTTTGATTATTGTTTGAGAGGTGCCGGCTTTCCCTGCTAATTATAGGCTTGCCTCCAGCTAATAGGATTTATAGAAACAAAAGCATTAACAGCACGAACATTGCACAGGGCAGAACGGGCGCAAGCTGGGAATTTTCCATCCTGAAACGCCAAGGGCTGGGTGCTTGAAATGCCTGTTTTAGCCAGTCCAAGGTGAGTCAGGGTGGTGGTGTGGTTTATTTTCGATGAATTGCTGGTTTGGCAGTGGATGTGTATCTAAGGGATTGGGTCCATCAGGGATGGGGGGATTTCTTTGGCAGGGGAATTACTTAGCATCCCCGACGCTCATGCAAGTCACCAAGGACTAACTGAAATGGTGCTGGGAATGGGTGGCTCATGCTCCCAGAAACCATGTCGGAGGGAAATAAGGCGGTGCTAAAACTGGAGGGGAGAGCGGGGTGGAGGGGGTGTTTGTACTGTTTGTAGAGCTTATTATCAAATCTTCTGGAACTCTTTATCCTGCTAATTGGATTAGGGGCTCATCCACCTGGATAAATCCCCGAGCAGGCAAGAGGGTAGGCTCTGGGCATCCAGAAAACGCAACGGTGGTTTGATCCTGGGCAGTGCTGAGTGCCTGGGGCAGGTTCTGGGGATGCTGCTGGATCAGGCCCAAGGAGGGCAGGGCAGAGCGACCAGCTGAGTACGGCCTCGGGCAGGGCTGGCGTGTCAGCTGCCGTGGGAATTATGGAGCAGGATCATGGAATCACAGGATGGTTTGGGTTGGAAGGGACCGTTAAAGGTCACCTAGTCCAGCCCCCTGCCATCAGCAGGGACATCTTCAACTCCCTCCGGTTGCTCAGGGCTCTTTGCTCACTGGTAGCTGCTGTCCAACAGCTTGCTGTCCAAGAGCAAGTCATTACCCCAGATCACATAAAGGCTGGAACGGACTGAGTAGTGGGAAGTCTCTACAGGGACCTCCACCGAGCTGGGGCATTCAAGACCTGCTGTGCAAGCGACTGCGCCATTCCCGTTAGAGATAACCAGGAAAGGGGAATCAGATCCCTCCAGCTATTTTTAGAAATTTCTTGAGATCCCAACCAGCAACAGCCCGGAGCAGAATCGGTGGTGGGGAAAGGCTTCTCCTTGGCTTGTTTCCCTTGCATTTCTTCCCCTCTGGCACTTTATTCCTGGCAACCCAGGTTATACAGCTGGAGGGCTGAAGTATTTGTGTTTGCTTTCTAGAAATGAACTTCTTGCTTTGCTTCTCAGCTCCCCACAGGTGCAAAAGTCTTCTGGGGTTGGAAGGGGACTACACGGAGCCTGCAGGGCGCAGAGGAACCGGCTGGCCTCCCCAGCCTGTCCCCGGAGCTGGCCCTGGGCCCTGCACAGCCACGGGGGTACCAGCACTGCTGTGACACTGGGGAAGCATCCGACCTGCAGAGGTGAAGGAAGCTCGCCCCAGGTCACAGAGTAAGTGAGAACCAGAATGAGGAGGAAAATCCTCGCTCTCTGGCTCAAGACATCTGTCTTCCAGTGCTCCAACACAGCCTCTTGTATACTCTTCAAGTTGCTTATCCCCCCAGGTTAAATTTTGTGCTGTAACTCCTTACCAGACCTGCCTGAGACGAGCCCGACGCATTTGCGTGTACGTAGCAGCATCCCTAAAGCTTGCTCTGCAAATTTTTCCCCCTGCTCGTCTTTGTGCACTAGAGATCAAAGCATCCTCATGGTCCAGCGAGGTGCTCAGATGTAAACAAACAGGCAAGTCCGCCGTATCCCCCTAACAGCATCTTTTTTATGTTATGAACGTCTGCCTGAACTTGGAGCTTGGATTTTTAAATGAGTTGGTAGTAAGGAGTTATTCACCCAGTTTTGAAGCCAAATATTCTCTGCAAAAGAGCTCAAATTCTTCCCACACCCTGAACGTGGAGGGTTTCAGTGAGAAGATTCCCTACCCCCAGGTTTTGATAGCATGTGTTGGAAGTGTGGGGATGGGACGTGAGCTGTGATGAGAGTCACGCCCTTACCTCCACCAAAGTCACTCTGCAGGCAAGCTAAGCTCCAGGGACCAACCTCCCCCCGCTCTGGGGCAATTCCCCCCAGCCTGGGATGCGGGGGCTAAGTCACAGTGGCCTCGGGACCACCAGCTGTCCCCAAGGCTCTCAGTACCACCGGGATGCAACAGAAACGTGGGTGCTTACCGGCGGGGGACCCTGCGCCGCTCCTCTGCCCGCCTGGCTCCGGTGGTGCCGTCTGGCAGCTGGCAGGAGAGGAGGACCCGGGATTTTGCCTCCCCTCCTCTGTCTGCTGCACCCTCCGCAGCCCCTGCTTATATATATATTTGTTATTTATGGAGCACGTGATGACATCCTAATGAGTTTATAACCCCGACAGAAGATGAGGAGAGGTGAGAGGCTTTAAGGTGACAGGCCAGCGAAAGGATCCCATCAGGCTTTTATTCTTTTATTTATTTTTTTCCCCCCCCTGGCGTGACTGCCTGCAGAGGGATAAGGCATTTAGCTGATTGCTCTGCGCTGAGTCCCCGCTGCGGACCGGGCAGGGAGAGCAGAGGATTTAGCTGAGAAAGGAGAGCAATGTGCTGTGCCCGATCCAGACCTCTCTGAGGGCATCGGGAGCCCGTAGGAAGCTGCGGGCAGCCCTGCCGAGAGGGGATGAGCTTTTTTTTGCAGCAAGGATGGGGAGGTTGCTGGTCGTGCCAGGCGTGATCATTGCTTGGGCTTGAGCGGTGGGGAGTTTCTCAGGGGAATCGACTGGCTCCGTGTAGGATGACGGGGCTGGATCTAAGGTTTCTGCCCCAAGGAGCTTACCCCAAAGGCCACGAATCTCTCCTCCGCACAGCCCTCGGTCCCTGGGAGCTATTACTTGAGAACCTGGATAGGCAAAGCTGGCAATATTTGTCCCCGTCAGGACACATAATAAAAGGGGGATTATCCCAAGCGTGAGCATGATGTTGGCATCATCATTATCATCATGAACCAGATGCAGCCCTGAAAGAAGCCCAGAGCAGGAGGCAGAGCTGGCTTTGCTCCACCGGAGACATTTCCAGGGGAGATCAGGACCTGCTTTAGTTTCCAGCCATGGGCAAAGTGACCTGGGGCTACACTCTTATCTCCCTCTTTTAAATTCTTTTCGTGGAATTGAAACAGAAATACAACCCAGCAGCTTTCTGCTCTTCAGAAGTGGCATTTCAGAGCAACTCCCAGCCATTAAAGCTGAGCCCAGCAGAGCAGAGGCTGGCCCGCGGCTGGAATAGTCAAGCAGGGATGCTGCATTTGGTGGGTTTTTTTTCTCTCCCTGCTCCTACACAGCTGCAGAGGGTCAAAAACTCCATTAAACAAGAGCCACAGCAGCGTGTTGAGATTTACATATTTAGCAGCTCTCTCAGCATCTTCAAAGAGCCCCGAGCTGTCACTCCAGCCCCGCAGCCAGGCTGGTCCCAGCCGTGGGGTGCCCGCTCAGAAGACAGCAATTATCTCCGGGTAGGATTTGCAGCGAGGGGCGACACGTGGGAGGCAGCTGAATCACGACTCGTCCCCTCCTCTGCCAGGACTTGGGAATAAAAGTGACACAGACGCAGCCCGGGGGCTCCTCAGCTGTGCCCGGTTTTCCCGGTGCTCAGGGGAATGAAGGGGCTTTTGGTGGCTGCAGCCTTCGCAATCCCTTGGCTTTAAAGGGCAGGGTCTGCCATCACAGGGGACACAGGTGGCATCAGGGTCCTCCCCCGTGTGGCATCATCAGGGACGTTTCTCTCCCAGATTCACGGAATTACTCACATAATTACCAAGCTGGATGCTCTGCTTACGTCCCTGCTTTACACCTTCCCCTGGCTTAGCTCTGGGGACCCACGTACCCAAGAGGGTGACGCTTTTTTCCTGGCAATGGCATAACAGGGGTGGCAGCAGGGCTCTGCAGCTTGGCATCGCTGCAAGGTCAGCCACGGGCTCTGATTTCATTCTCCCTCATCTCCTGCCTTTCCATCAGCTGCCATGGACTGGCAGCATGCGAGTGCTCGCTGTGGCTGTAACTTCACAGCAGGATGTGGCTCTTTGGACATATTCGGTATTCTCAGCACTTGCCAGGCTGGCTACCTGCTGCATTTAAGCCCCAGCGGTCCCCTCTTGTGCTGCCGAGAGCAGTTCGAAGTCACCAGGAGGTCCTGTGACCCCAGCGTGCCTCCGGCCTCTCCGCTGGAGCCGGGCATCCAGTGTGGTTTAGGAGCCTGCGAGCCGGTGTTCTTCCAAAATAGCAATATAGGCCTGGCCACATTCCTGACCCAGGCTCTAAATAGACCCTGGAGGGGCTGGTTCTGCTCTGTGCTCCGAAATGTTAATACATATAAAATATATATAACATGCGAATAGAGGCATATGTGGCTTTCCTCTGGCGTATTCCTTTTGGCCCATCATTGCAGCTGATGCCCTTCTGCGAGGGTGGAGGGCTGATTCCCTCCTCAGGCGGTCACGGGGAGGGGGTGAGGGGCTGCTACTTCACGGCTGATTTGGGGTCCCAGCGATGGTCGGGGGAAGCAGGCTTTGAATTTTGGCCTTGACCTCCACTGGATCACACGTGCCTTTGCAGGGCTGCTGTACCGTTACTCCTCTACGTGGGCATCCTGGTTTTGGCTGGGGTAGAGTTCATTTTCTTCCTGGTAGCTGGTATGATGTTATGTTTCGGATTTAGTATGAGAATAATGTTGATAACACACTGATGTTTTTAGTTGTTGTTAAGTAATGTTTATCCTCAGTCAAGGATTTTTCAGCTTCTCATGCCCAGCCAGCGAGAAGGCTGGAGGGGCACAAGAAGTTGGGAGGGGACAGCTGACCCCAACTCAAAGGGATATTCCATACCATAGGACGTCGCGCCCAGTATATAAACTGGGGAGGGAGTTGGCCAGGAGGGATCGATCACTGCTCAGGGATCGCTGCTCAGGTCAGTGGGTGGTGAGCAACTGCATTGTGCATCACTTGTCTTTTCTTGGGTTGTATTCTTTTGTTATATTCCTTTTCATTACTTTTATTATTGTTATTGTAGCTATTATATTTTAGTTTAGTTGTTACACTGTTCTTATCTCAACGGATGAGTTTGACTTTTTTTCAATTCTCCTCCCCATCCCACAGGGAGGGGGAAAGCGTGAGCGAGCGGCTGCGTGGTGCTCAGTTGCTGACTGGGATTAAACCACGGCCGAGGGCCTTTGAGGAAAGAGCACAAACAGCTTGGGGGACAGTTTCACCCGTGTCTGCTTGGCCATGGGCAACCTCAGCCAAAAACAGGAGGGTCGGGACCCAACCAGGACCTCTTTTATCCCCTCCCTAGAGCACAGGCGGCGCTTAGCCTCCTTTCCTTCTCTCTGCAGGGCTGTGGGCCTTTGTAACCAGGTCACGGCCACTCATGACACAATCCCTGGGAGGATGAGGCTCCTCAGGGAGGAAGAGAGCTGGGCAGGTGGGAAGGGGCTCGGCAGAGGCAGCCCCCACTCTCCAGTCCCAGACCTCCAGGCGATCTAGGTCCAGTTCTGACTTTGGGACGTGGCAGGTGGGTGATGGTTGCTGGGGCATCCTGCGTCTTACGGGAGCTCTGCTACCCTTGGGCCAGCCCTGGCACACTGCTGGTGGGAGCCAGGGTGACCCCCATGGAGAT